AGTAAGGACTGAAATGACCATCTTTCACAGCAGTGAGTATAAACCCGTTCTGCTTACTCATTCATTAGGAACAGAAACGTCCTTGAGATGTAATAACAAGATGTGATATGTTTCGCTTTTCTTTTCCTTGCTGGTAGCATATAATTACGTTATATTTTTTTCTGGGGAAGGGATAGCAATGAAGTAAACATAGTAAATGCCTTTTTTTCATTTTGTCCACTATTAATGTTAGTATACTGAATCATCTATGTATTGCACAATGTTAGCTCGTTAGATATACTTTATTCAAATGACGAAAGAATGTGGAATTAAATATTACTGTTTAGGCGATAATTCCTTTATTTCTTGGTTTACGAATCCGCCACACTTGTTTTTCCCCGATTTTCAAAAATAAAAATTAAGAAATCGATTTTTCTTTTCCTGCCACACCTGATCCGATGTCATTTGTTTCCGATATTCTGTTTTTCAAGTCAGTTATACTTCCACAATCGATGGTGTCTGCCGTTTGTCCCAAGCAGGATATGTCACCGGTTCTGTAAAAGGAAATCATCCCTGTCTGTGGCCACATGAACAGTACTGATTCCAGACGTGATGTAGTTTTGTCGTTGGTATTTTTTTTCTTTTTTTTCTTTTTATATTTGCCGCCTGTCACGTGATTCCAGAGATTAACAAACGGTTATAAGATCAAAAAAAAAAAAAAAAAAAAAGTTAAAACCCAATTATTTTTTATTTTTATTTTGCGAAATGAATAAGAAATCAAATCCGTGAACCGAGGAATAGAGTAATTGTGGCCTTAGAGAGACGATAAACCGACATATTTTCTTTCCAAGTACCATTTCATCATAAACGTTCCTCTCTTAAAGGGTTAGAAGGGTTATACATTTTTCAAACGTCTATAAGCAATCAGTTCGAACAACAAGCCAGTAAAACAACTTAAGCAGTGAAAATGATATTGACTTTAGTAGACGAGTAGACAAATACCGCCCCTACGTGATAGCAAAACATCATCAATATATAGGGGCTTCGCTTGCTATCAGGAAGCTGCTACTAGTCGTAATACTACTACTGCTGCTTCTGCTGCTGTTGCTATCACCACCACCATCACACGCCAAGGTGTAAACCACTTATAATACACCTTGTATTTTTATTTTTTCCTGTTTTATTTCTTCTTTGTGGTCATTCTCTATTTTCACTCCCAAAAGACATTTATCTACTCACCCAGTAGTGAATGTGTATTTTT